CACTTCTGCTACCTTGGCAAAACTTTTCCCTTTGAGAGATCAGAAGCCTGCAAAGAGTAAATTCAACAGTAACAACAACAACAAGAGTCTAGAGTTAAAAATTTTTGACATTAAAAGAATTTTTTAACATATTAGAAGACCAGTAAGGGGTTGTTATGTTCATTTAATATTTATACTCCCATCCCAGAAGCTCATTTAAAAGTTGATATTGGTTCTGGTAGTGAAAACGGTGGAAGTGAAGCCAGAGTGTAGAAACTTCTCAAAATGTGGTCTGCAGACCTGCAGCATTGTTATCTCCTGGGAGCTTGTTAGAAATTCAGAATCTCTGGCCCCGCACCATCTTACTGAATCAGAACCTGCATTTTACAGTGATCTTCAGATGATCCATTTGTACATTGGGGTGGAGAACACTCGTGTGGACTGCCCTTTCGGGAAGCTCGGCCCTGAAGAAGCTGTGCTGAGTGAGGGAAGGTCCTACCTGGAGAGGAGCATGGGATCAGGACACTGGCCTGTCTTCGGAAAATCTGGACCCGACTCGAACACGTGTATACTTGTAAAGAAGGAGGTGTTTGAAATAAGCCGGATACAGAAAGACAAATGCCACACACTCTCACTCATATGTAGAATCTGAAAAAAAGAAAGGGTTGCTCTTATAAAAGCAGAAAGTAGAACAGTGGTTACCGGGACTCTGGAGGGAAGAGGAGAGGTAGGGAGAGGTTGCTCAGTGGGTACAGTCACAGTTAGATAGGAGGCATGGTAGAAGTCGCCTATGAATGTCTGTCGGTCTATCCTCTTTCCATTACCTGTCATCGATGGATCAGCTCCCTATCACCTACCTGCCTACCCACCTGTCTGTCACCCATCTACCTACTGTCATCTATGGATCAGCTCCCTATCACCTACCTGCCTACCTACCTGCCTACCCGTCTGTCTGTCACCTACCTGCCTGCCTGTCATCTCTTATCTGTCACCAACCTGGTGCTCTGTTGCCCAGGAGAGTGACAATGGTTAACTGTGTGACACCGTACATGGCCACATAGCTAGAAGACAGGCTTTGGAAAGTCCTTACCACCTAGCAATGGTAGACACATCAGGGTCGGTCTTGCTGGATACGCTGATTTGATCGTCATACAACATATATATCAGAATGTCACCTTGTGCCCCATAAATGTGTGCAATTACAAAGTGTTAATTAAAAACAAATTTAAAGCAATAGATGGAGGAGAAAAGAGAGAAGAGGTAGCTGGAGGCCCTGGGGAGCTGGTGGGTCTGAGCTACAGGCATTGCAGGGCGGCCAGAGTAAACCGGATAAAGGACACCTGCGTCTGTCATCTGTTAATATCTATCCACCTATCTATCTAATCATCTATCACCCACCTACCATCTACCTATAGCCCAGCTAGCTATCTAAAGTCTGTTATCTGCCTCTGTATCTACGTGTCTGTCACCTACCTACAGCCTTCCTGTCAACGGTCTTCTACCTGTCTGTCATCTATGTGTCAGCTATATCCCTACCTAGCATCTACCTGTCATCTGTCTTCTGCTTGCCTATCATCTATCACCTATCTGTTGCCTGTCACCTACCTAATCTTTTTATCTATATTGACCTATCATCTATCTGTATGTATCTACCTGTGTCTGTCTGTCTATCTGTCTGTCTCATCTATCAATCATCCATCTATATATTTATCTATCTCTCATCTGTTTCTCATCTATCTGTATCTTTATCATCTGTCGATCATCCGTTCTCTCTGTCATCACTTTTGTTCTTTTGAGATGGGAGGGAAGGAAGAGAGGGTGGAATGGCATATACACAGCTTGTGTGTTGGAAGCTGAGAGATTGAGAGCAGTAAAACACGGGGGCTCTTTTCCCTGACACTGGAGGGGAGGGAGGTCATTTTCCCTGACACTGGAGTGTGAAGGGTGGACCTGGTCTTGGGCCAAAGTACAGAGACCGGTGGAAAAACACACTGACGAGGGAAAAGAGGAGACAAGAGTAAGGGAGCCTGAGTTGCTCTTGCTTTGGTTACCCTCTTGGACGGTCCAGAATGCCTTTGTGCTCTCTGGAATGGAAGGGGTACCCACGTCTACAGATGGTAAATTCCAGCTCTGAGCATCATCTAATTAAAGAGACAAATACAGCGCTAACACAGAGTGTGGGGCTGTTTGGACTGTATCAGTACCTTATTTCCAGGAAGGCAGAGCTGCTTTTGTGTCCGAACTAATTTCCTTTAAAACTCGTTATCCTCACATGAGAGGTGGGGAGTCTTGGCCTGGGGACCACAGCTTCTGCCTGGCGTCAGGGACTGAGGTGGGCGCCAGGCTCTGCGGCTCCAGCTGGGGGTTTCTCCCACTGGCTGTGTGCATTTCATGATTTGCCGGGAGCCTGCACGCTCCTCGACGTGGAAAGAGAGTTTCTGAAGAGTCCTGCTCTCGCAGAACTTCGGTGGGAATGCCGGAGGAGGAGGTGAAGAGAGCCATCCTTGAATATTTCACCCTCTCCACACGCAGCCTGGGAGCCCCTGCACTGTCTCTGCCCACGGGAAGGCTCAGCAGCTTCTCTTCCTTCTGTGGGCTCCTCCTTGCGGGGTCTGTGTTTTGCTAAGAGGATGCTTTGTTTCTGAGGACAGGTGGTTGAAATACACTGCTTCCACTGGCATATCCACAGCTATGTACTTCTCAGCCCCGTGAATCATTTTTCAAAGCTTTCATGGCTCTTGCTCTTTGATCAGGATAAATCACTTAACAGTGAGACCAGAGTCTCCTTTCATAGACTCCCCTGTGTCCTTGTTCTCACCTACTGGTCTTTCCTTCTCTGAAGGTTCTGACCTTATGAATTAAATTCTTTCTGCTTGTAACATTCGTCAGGCGGATTGGGAAACTGGGGACTTTTGTTTATTGATCCTTTTATCTTCTGCTTTTTTGCCTGGAAAGGTCATTTTTCAGTTTCCTCAGAAGGTAATTCTACTTCTCTTAGTAATTCTCCACAAACACTAAGCTTAGACATTCATATAGAAGCCAGAATAAACATTAAGTTTGGAAGTGGCTTATAAAAAACGAGAAACAAGCTTCTGAGTATAACTTGAATTAGGTAGAAAACATATCTAATAATGAAAGAAGCAGTCCTTCCACCCTGTGTGGGGTCCACAAGGGAAGCTGCGTTTTGTGGAGTCTTGATGTGGAAGGCGTCATAAAGGCCACATTCTCAAAAATGCCTTCCTTAATGTGTAACCCCTTTTCCAGTCTATGTTAGGGCTTCCCCCCCAAAAAGTTTATTTCTCTATTTTTAAGTGACAAAAAATTGTATATGTCTATTATGTACAACATGTCTTGAAGCATGAACACGTTGTGGAATAACTAAATTGAGCTAATTAATGTATGTGCTAACTCACATCAGGTCTCTCTTTTTAGCATTTTTTATTTTCTCCACAACATTGAACACAACTAGAGTTTTATATTTTTTGAATAATTACTGGTTTAAACTCTTCCCTCCTGCCACCCCAGACTATAAGCCGCATGATGGCAGGAGCCTTGGTAACTGTAGTAGACACTAAATAAATATTTGTTGGGTTAATAAGAAGAAGAACAGAGAATATTTCTTGTGCTCACTGTGTACCAGGAACTGTGCTCAAGGTGTTCCTCATCTTACTGATTGTCTTAGTCTGCACAAATTGCCATCACAAAACGCATAGACTGGGTGGCTTAAACCAGCGGTCCCCAAGCTTTTTGGCATCAGGGACTGATTACGTGGAAGACAGTTTTTCCACAGACTGGGTGATGGGGAGGTGCCGTCAAACCTCACTGCTAATGTTAGTTTGTATTGGCAGCTGCTCCTAGCACTGGCATCACTGCCTGGGCTCCACCTCAGATCATCAGGCATTAGATTCTCATAAGGAGCACGCAACCTAGGCCTCTCACATGTGCAGTTCACAATAGAGTCTGTGCTCCTATGAGAATCTAATGCTGCCACGGATCTGGCAGAAGGCGGGGCTCTGCTTACCCTGAAACGCACTTCCTGTTGCGCTGCCTGGTTCCTAACAGGCCACAGACCAGTGCCGGTTTGCGGTCTGGGGGTTGGCTTCAACAACAGAAATGCACTTTTGCACAGCTCTGGAGATTAGAAGTCCAAGATCAAGGGTCCAGTGATTTGATTTCTAGTGAGGGCTCTCTTCCTTGCACCTTCTTGCTATGTTCTCACGCGGTAGAGCGAGAACGAGCTCCTTGGTGTTTCTTCTTATCAGAACCATAATCCCACGGGATCAGGGCTCTACACTTGTGACCTCTTTGACCTTGACTACTTCCGTACTCCCAATACAGCTTCACTGGAGATGAGGACTTCAGCATGGGGATTTTGGGGACACGCATTCATCCATCCATAACACCCCCCCCCCCCCCCCGGCAGTCCTAATGAAGTAGGCATTGCTGTTATCTCTGTTTTACAAATGAGGATCCCAAGACTTAGAGCAAGGGGCCTTTTCAAGGTCATACCAGTAAGTGAACAAGCTGGGTCGCGGTCACAAGTCCTTTTACTCAAACCTGGGCTTATAAAGGTACAAAGACCTGAATATGCTACATGTAGCTACAGAGTCGAGAAGTGATTAGAGTTGGTTGAGTGCCAGCCGGAGAAGACTTTTGGAAGCAATGTGAGATGCAGACCAGAAGCTTGGGGGACTATATGCAAAGAGGAGAGTTTATAGGCTAAGACAGTAGTTTTCAAACCTCATATCCTAGGACCCCTTTATGCTCTTAAAAAAAGTATTGAGAGTCTCAAAAAGCTTGTTTATGTGAGTTATATCTATTGATATTTATAGAGTATTAGAAATTAAAACTGGAAAGATTTTAAAATATGTATTAATTCATTTAAAAGTAATGGAAATAAATTCATTATGTGGTAACATGCATAATAGCTATTTGTGCTAAATAATTATATTTTCCAAAATAAAATGTTAGCACGAAAGATAAAACATTTCTACACACCTCTCTACTGTGTGCCTTAATAGGAGACATAGATATGGGTTCTCCTGTCTGCTTCTGCATTCCCTCTGTCCCAGTACGCTGCGCTGGTTGAAGCCGATGAAGAAAATTCCGCCTCTCACAGATGTGTAGTTGAGAAAAGGAGGCACTGAATAGCCTTTTCGGGTAATTGCGGACATTCTGCTGTGATACGACAGCAGCGCTCCAGCTGGTCGTTTCCTAAAGGTTAGTTGCAATGTGAGATCTGAAACTGAATCAGTGACCTTTTCATATTCTGTTACTTCGAAATCCGTTGGTCTAGCCTGCTCTTTGAATGGATTTTATAACATATTGCCTTGGTCATTTGAAAATATTGGTTCACTGAGTTAATATGGATCCTTCAAATGTTGACACCTTTCATGATACAGTATCCAGAAATCACATTTCTTAATATCGCCACTCAAATATTTCATCAGAAAAGGCTTTGTGTAGTGGGGAGTTAAGCTCATGGTAGCAGATACAAGTTTTGTAAAATCCTAATTTTCACTTGATAACCAGGCTTTTATCATGGGCATCAATGACTATGAGTCGTTTTCCTTGAAGTGATAAGATGACTCACTGGTTTTCAATATCTCATTCATTTTCAAGAAAACGTCTGCCAACTTCCCAAGTCTAAGTAACTTTACTTTGTGCGTTTTCCTTTCAGGTAAAAATTATGTACAATGAAAGAAAAGCAATTAGCTGAGTTTGCAACTCAAACAATGGCACGCGTGCTTCTCTTTGTGACCACTGCTGTATTGACGTATGTAATAGCAGTGTTCCATGCATTTTTCCCATCTCGTCACACAGAATATTAAAAAGATGTGTACTCAAGGTGTAATAAAATGAATAATTCTTACTCCTCTGTCAAGAGTGTTCTTAATCGAAATGAGTGTTTGTTTTTTCGGGGGTACACGGCTGTGGGGGACACATAGCCCCATGCGGCCTTTGAAGCCACTGCCCGCATAACTGTGGTGGCCTTAGCACTTCCCCTGCTGTGGCTTTGCTACATTTGGTACAAGTGTCAACACAGTGGAAAAGGCAAATACACCTTGGTACTATTAGAGAAACAATTTTGGCCTTGTGGTTTCCCACCAGAGTTTTGGGGCGCCCCTCCACTCCCCTTCCCCACCACCCTGTTCATTCCCCAGTACAGACAGACTGCACTCTGAGGGTGGCCGGGCTCAAGAAACCATGCCGTGGGGGTGAGGGAGGTCAGGGACAGGCATGCACTTGGTTTGACTTTGAAGTTCAAGAATTCAGGAGTCTGAAGGGAGGACAGGGAAGCCATGAATTGAGGCTGGTCAGGAGGAGAAAGACGTCTTCAAGGAGCTCCAAAGCTCATGAGCTCTGATTCTGTGGTGATTTCAAGGAAAACCAGGAGTTTCTGTAATTTTTTGAACCAAAGTGACACTGTCCATGTGTTCCCTCGTCTGTAAAGCGGGACTGTAGTAGTTGTATTCATTGTGCATTAATGCAGAGCAGCATAGAACAGGGCTTGGCACGTAGCAGGTTTCACACGAGTGTTATTGTCGCGAAGATGGAGTTTTGCTCGAGTGAGAGGAGGAATGAGAGCGGCGGTTCCTACACTGCAGCCAGCAGCAGAAAGCCTGGGAGGCTGGCTGAACACGACTTGCAGGGCCTGCCCTGGAACCCTGATGGCAGCAGTCTGAGATGGGCCATGATCTGCATTTCTGTAAGTTCCTGGGTGGTACCGGTGCTGCCCTGCTGGGTAGCACACCACAAGAAATCGAATCACAGGCATTCACATGACCAGTGCTCTCCATGCCAGTAGGTGTAACTCACAGAAACAAAAGCTTTTTGATATCCTCAGCTCTTTTTTTGAGAGTGAGGGCGTCCTCAGACACAAGGCTTGATGTCCTTTTCTAGCTATTCAACAGGCCGATGCCTGTGATTCAGATCCATGGGTGGAAAGCGAGGTCTACTTCTTTCCTGCTTCACTTTTATGTCATTTTGCCCAAGAATGGAAATTTTCCCTGTGTTTTATTTTTATCTGAACAATAAACTGGGACAGTAACTGATTCAGTATTTACAGTTTTTCCAGCATGTTCTATTTTGCTGCTCCTAATTGCTATTAAAGCCAGATAGATGGCCGCATTCCAAAGACTGGCCTGATTTGCCAACAGTTTTACTCACCAGCATAATTTTCCCTGGCTCTCAGCTCCCTGACTAATGTAACAGGGCATCACTGCCACTTTTCTGAACTTGCCCACGCTTACTTCCTGTAGGGACTTAGATGTGGAGGCTAACTGGTAAGACTGCTGATGGAGATGTGCTCAATGAAGAGTGTTGGTAGTTTGATGACCATTTCAATTATACATTCATTTCATGAGTATGTGAGTGCCAGCTGGGTACCAGGCTTTGTGCTGGATGCTGGAATCAAACAGAGGGCAAGAGAGGCGTGGACTCTGATTGTCTGGGGAGACAAGGACAAGTCTGCAGGTGATTATGAAGCCGTCTGATGTTCAGGGCAGGGCAGGGCGCTAATTGCCTTGGGGAACAGGAAGGGTTTCTGAGGGTAAGTAATGCCTGAGCTGTAGCCAAAAGGCAGACTAGGAATTAGGTAGGTAAAGAAAGCGGCAGGCAAACAGTGTGAACGGTGTTCAAGGCCGAATGAATGAAGTATGGGAGGACCTAGCGGAGACGAGCACACGTGCCTTTGAGAAGTTTAATTGGCTGGTCTATGGCGTTTAGGTGATGCTGGGATGTAGAGGGTAGGACATGACCGGAAGGGCCGGGCGCAGTGGCTCACACCTGTAATCCTAGCACTTGGGAGGCTGAGGCGGGAGGATCGCTTGAGCCCAGGGGTTTGAGACCAGCCCAGGCCATTAAGAGAGACCTCGTGTCTACAAAAATTAAAAGACATTAGCCAGGAATGGTGGCATTCGTCTGTAGTCCCACCTACTGAGACAGAAGGATCACCTGAGCCCAGGAGGTAGAGGTTGTGGTGAGGCGTGATCATGCCAAGCATTCCAGCCTGGGTTACAGAGTGAGACCATGACTCAAAAAAAATTAATAAAAACATAAAAAGAAAACGGCAAGAAGATGAAAAGGTTACACAGGGCCCCTGTGCCTTCTGGCTTCTAACCCTCAGTATTGTTGATTTTGGGGGCTAGATAGTTCTTTGCTGCAGTGGGGGCAGGGACTGTCCTGTGCATTTCAGGATGTTTGACAGCATCCATGGCCTGGGTACGAGATAGCAGTAGCAACTCCCACCTCCTCATTTTTGGCAAGTAAAAACAGCTCCAGACACTGCCAGATGCCCCTTGGGGGAGTGAAATTGTCCCTGGTGTTTTGTCTTCATGTTGAGAGCAGTGGAGTGTGGTCAGGAGGTTCTGTTCAGGCGAATGGCATAAGCGGATTTGTACCTTTGGGCAGTTAGTTCCTCTTCAGCAGTGTGGGACGGCAGCTGGGGGCTGGGAGGATTTGAGGCGGGGCCCCGGGTTCAGGTGTTGCCATTGCACCAAGGTGAAGCTGAAGCCGTGGCTGTGGAAGTGGGAAGAGCCAAACAGACTTGCGACACGGTTAGAAGAGAGACTCAGCATGTGAATGGCCACCGAGAGGAAGGCATCGAGGCTGACTCAGGCTTCTGTCTTGGGCCCTGAGGAAGATGGCGGTGCCCTTCACCCGGGAAGGAGCGCGGGAGGGGAGACAGACTTCAGAGACGTGGAGCGAGGATGGCTTGGATTTCAGCCCTGTTGGGTGGAAGGTGCCTTGTGGTTGAAGGAGCCAGGTGGAGGTTTTCATCTGTGGGCAGAGTCGTGATTCTGGAACTTAGGAGACAGCTCTGAGCCATTCAGCAACTAGAAGGCATTGAAGCTGGGTGAGGCGGAGGGAATGCATGGCGTGGGGAGAGCTGACAAGAGCAGTTCCTGGCTGACACCAGGCGAGTGTGGCATGAGGAAGGGAGAGTTCAGAGGAGGAGGGCTGGGATGCGGCCATGTCGGGGAAGCTGGGGAGACTAGCTCTGTGCAGAGATGCAAGCTTTCTCTCCGTGGCTCCAACTCCTTCCTTTCCTTCAGCGAATCTAAGTCTCCTGGGGTCCCGCATGCTTGTTAGGCTTTTCTGAATGGGTTGGACCCTCCAAAACGCAGAAGGATGTGACCGGTTATGCTGACTGGTAGTAGAAGCTCTGGAGTAGAAACTCTGAATCATGAAATCCAGAGTTGCAGACAGATGCCGTTCCCCCACTGCATTGATGCTGGGCCAGACTGCTGAATTATGTCGACCAGCAGTCCCCAACCTTTTTGGCATCAGGGACCGGTTTCAGGATTTTTCCATGCACCAGGGATGGGAGAGGGATGCTTTTAGGATGATTCAAGCACATAACACTTATTGTGTGCTTTATTTCTATTATTATTGTATTGTAATATATAATAAAATAATTATGCAACTCTCCATATAAAAAGAGAGGCATGGATGGAAGTAGTAAATAAAATAATGGGCAGGCCACACATGGACTAAAATAAGTGTCGGATGTAGCTGCACAGTTGAAGTACATCAACTCACTTGCCACCCACTGATAGGGTTTTTTTTAGTCAGAGTCTCACTCCGTCAACCAGCCTGGAGTGCAGTGGCATGCTCATGGCCACCACAGCCTCAACCTGCTGGGCTCAGGTCATTCTTCTGCCTCAGTCTTCCAAGTAGCTGGAACTATAGATATGTGCTACCATGCCCAGCTAATTTTTTTTTTTTTTTTTTTGTAGAGACGAGGTCTTGCCAAGTTGCCCAGGCTGGTCTTGAACCCCTGGGCTTAGGCAATCCTCTTGCGTTGGCCTCCCAAAGTTCTGGGATTATAGGCTTGAGGCACTGCGTCTGGCCTGATAGGGTTTTAATGTGAGTCTGCAAGCAATTGATTTATTGTTGTCTCTGTACCATCAAATCTCACTGCTAATGTTAATGTGTATTTGCCTCAGCTCCACCTCAGATCATCAGGCATTAGATTCTCACAAGAAATGTGCAGCCTAGGTCCCTTGCATGCGCCACTCACAGAAGGGTTCACACTCCTATGATAATTTATGCTGCCCTGATCTGACAGGAGCGGAGCTCAGGCGGTAATGTGAGTGACGCGGAGTCGTAAATACAGATGAAGCTTTGCTTGCTCACCTGCCACTCACCTGTTGCTGTGCCACCCAGTTCCTATCAGGCCACGGTTTGTGGCCTGGGGTTGGGGAGCCCTGATATAGGAGGATTCATGAGGGAGACACATCGTTCCCAGCAGCAGTCACCTGCCACTTCCTTAAGGAAAAATCTCATTTGTGTTGATGGGTCGTAGAACTGTGTTTCTGTTTTATGAGAGCCACTTTTGATGAGAAAGTAACACCTTAATTTAGGGATTGGGTAGCTGAAGGGCTGTGACGTCCTATAACCAAGTCTCAGATACCGGTATTGTTCAATATTGAGCGATGTGTGCTTTAGGTACCTGACCTTTGAGGGTAGTCGTGTGTTAATTATGGGAAACTGAAATTCGGTGCATTCTAAATGGCTGTGATTTATCGTGACCATTTTGGAATTGGGTCCTGTGGCCATAGGCCAATTTTACTTGAAGGAAATTCTGTGCTGTGTGCTTGGATTTTATGCTTAAAAATTTCAGCCACAGTTTCAGTGCTCTATTAATTAAAACAAGATGCTTCGTAACTTTTTCTGCATAGTGGAATGCCCTCTGTGGCTCATATTTGAAATAAAACCCTCAGAAGATTTACATTTTCTGGTCTGGCACCCTTTGCTTTTTAATTTATGTGTCCCATTTGTCCTGAAGGAGTTGGGAAGTTGAGATTTACAGCCATCCCAACTGGGAGAGTTAAGAGTCTT